GTGTGTGTGTGTGTGTGTGTGTGTGTAAGTTTTCTTTATCCATTCATCCAATGACGGACACTTAGGTTGTCTGTATGTCTTGGCTATTGTAAATAATGCGGCAATGAACATGAGAGTGCAGACATCTTTCTGAGTTGGTGTTTTTACTTCCTTCAGATAAATACACAGAAGTGGAATTTTTAACTTTTTTATTTTTAATTTTTTGAAGAATTTCCACACTGTTTTCCATAGTGGCTGCATCGATTTACATTTGTACCAAGGCAAGGGTTCCCTTTTCTCTGCATCCTCACTTGTTATTTTTGTCTTTTTTATAATGGCCATACAAGCAGTGTGAGATGGTATCTCATTGTGGTTTTGATCTGCATGTCCCTGTTGATTAGTGAAGTTGAGTTCCTAGTCACATACCTGTTGGCCATTTGTATGTCTGCTTTGGAAAAAAGTCTATTCAGATCCTCTGCCCATTTGTTAAGCAAATTGTGTGTTTTTTCAATTGAGTTGTATGAGTTCTTTATATATTTTGGATATTAATCCCTTATCAGATACATGACTTATAAATATTTTCTCCTATTCTGTACATTGCCTTATCATTTTGTTCATGGTTTCCTTTTCTGTGCAGAAGCTTTTTAGTTTGATGTAGTCCCACCTGTTTATTTTTGCTTTTGTTGGCAAAGCCAAAAAATCATTGCCAAGACCAATATCAAGGAGCTTACTGCTTATGTTTTCTTCCGGTTTTATGATTTCAGGTCTTACGTTCAAGTCTTTAATCCATTTTGAGTTGATTTTGTGAAGTGTATGATAGCAGTCCAGTCTCATGGATCTGTCCAATTTTCCCAACACCATTTATTGAAGAGACTGTCCTTTCCTCACTGTATGTTCTTGGCTCCTTTGCCATTAATTAATTGCCCAAATATGTGTGGGTTTATTTCTGGGCTCTCTATTTTGTTCCACTGATCTATGTGTCTGTTTTTATGTCAATATTATACTATTTTGATTACAACAGTTTTGTAATATAGTTTAAAATCAGGAATCATGATGCCTCCACCTATATTCTTCTTTCTTAAGATTGTTTTGGCTATTTGCGCTCTTTTGTGGTTCCATGCAAATGTTAAAAATTAAGTACTTTTGTCCGACCAGTGTGGCTCAGTGGTTGAGCGTCGACCCATGAAACAAGAGGTAACCAGTTCGACTCCTAGTCAGGGCACATGCTGGTCTGTGGGTTCAACCCCCAGGGGGAGAGTGCAGGAGGCAGCCGGCTGATGTTCTCTCTCATCAATGTTTTTCACTCTCTATCCCTCTCCCTTCCTCTCTATAAAAAAATTAAAAAAAATTTTGACAGTCTAAGGGAAAAGAGATCAGTGCCCCTGACTAAATAGGTATTGCATGTGTTTTTATTTATTATTATTATTTTAAAATTTATATTTATTGTTGAAAGTATTACAGATATCCCTCTTTTTTTTCCCCTATTGNCTTAATTTAATAATTTATTTTTAAAATTTATCTTTATTGTTGAAAGTATTATAGATATGCCCCCCCTTTTCCCCCATTGATCCCCTCCAACCCACATCTGCCCTCCCCCCCCCAGGCCTTCACCACACTATTGTCTGTGTCTGTGGGTTATACATATATACACATAAGTTCTTTGATTAACCTCTCCCCACCCACTCCCTAACCCCTGCCTTCCCACTGAGATTCATCAGTCTGTTCCATGCTTCTATGTCTCTGGATCTATTTTGTTCCTCAGCCTATTTGGTTTATTAGACTCCACATATGAGTGAGATCATGTAAAACTGAATCAGGAAGAATCAGAAAACCTGAATAGGCCAATAATAACTTTTTTCAGTTGGTTAGACCATCGTCCTGATGCACCAAGGTTGTGGGTTCAATCTCCAGTTAGGGCACATGCAAGAGTCAACCAATAAATGCATAAATAAGTGGAACGACAAATCAATGTTTCTCTCTCTCCCCTCCTCTCTCTCTCAAAATCAGTAAGTTAAAAAAAAATTTAAAAGAAAAAGGAGTACTTAACCCCAGTCGCCTGGATCCTAGGTCGACGCTCAACCGCTGAGCCACGCCCAGCCGGGCAAGAAGTACTTTTTAATGGTCAGAAAACATTTCATCAAGTAGATCTATGGTTACTTAAGCATGTCACTTTCCAGATAAAAGGGATTTTTCAAGAGAAGGTACTTAAGGAAAAAATTCAAATTGGAAATGTTACTAGGCTATGGTTCTAACAGTATTTCAGTTTTTCTTGTCAAAGTAACATTCAGTGATCATTTTCTTCTTAATTTCTCTCGTGACTTGAGTTGTTTGAAGACAGGTGACGAGAATGTCTAGTTTCCTAAATTCAGATGATTCCTAAATGCCAAACTGACAAGTGTCCCTGACCTCCTATCTATTTCTGATCTGTACAAAGGGGAAAAGAAATCTAGTACAGAGGTTCCCAGATTCCTTCTCCTTTGTAACACCCACTCTTGCCTGCCCTTGCTGTAGCTGCTCTATTTGATTCTTAGTGGTTTTTATATTCCTATGTTTCTGACCTCAGCTTAGCAAAATGACTGAAACTTTGTTTTCTATTGTTTCTGCTTTATGAAATCCCCAAATCCATAGGTACAACAGCTTTGAAGTGAAGCCTGGATTATAATCCTGGTTCTATCAACAGTTAAGAGAATTAGGCAAATCGCTGAAACTATCTGTGCTTCAGTTTTCTTAACTGTAAAGTGTGGCTAATAGTATCTAATACCTGAGTATTAGACTGGAAAATGTACTGAAAGTGCATAATGCAGTGCCTGGCACACCACAAGCCTTCATACACAGTGGTTACCACTGTCCTGTTATTTTTATTGTTCATGTTTCCTTACCCTACTTTGGAATTGGTATTCTTGATCCTTGACTTGTACCCCAAGATTACCAGGCCAAGGGAGACACAGAAGGCAAAGAATAAGTCCCTCCCTGACAAAGGAATCTGAACTTCAGGATACTGAACTGAAAAAGGAAGACAATCACTAATCATGAAGGTTAAAGAGGAAACCTAGCAAGAATCAACTGGGTGTTTGAGATAGGTATGTTAACTTGAATAGAAAGCAAAAGAAGTCTCAGAAATATTCTGGTTGAAGTATATAAATACACAGAAATCTCTTACTGGCATTTAAAAAAATTAAACAAAACATAGTTTTTCAGTGGCAACCTAGTTTCCATGGGGAGCTATTTTTCCAGATAGCATAAAATTAGTTTCCCATCTTAAAATGCACCTGCTAGATCACTAAACATTTGTATTAAGTCTCTGGACTTAAAGTACTTTTAATGTGAATTTTCCTCCTACTGTGCCCATCTGTTCTTTTCATGTGGGCCCAAAGGAAGCGAAAACTTAAAAAATATTCAGTTCTCAGACTTCTTTATATTTTCATATAAGCATTATATCCAGTGAGGAAAATTATAATTTCTGTTAATTATAGCTTCTGTGTGCAGAAACTTAATTCACGCACGATTTTCCTTTTCTCACTGTCTAAGTGGTCACTATTTTTATGGAAGACTAAAAAGTGACCACACATATAAAAAATAAAGCCAAAGCAAATGAATGATTATAACTTTAAAAGGTACATTTGTCAGGGATGGTAACTGATCTTTGATATCTGATAATAATAATTCTACGATATCTTACGTATTCATATAAGATAAATAACTTACTAATTATCCAATGTTGATGTGAACAGGGCCAGCTCAGGTGGGGGACAGTATCAAGGCCCCTGTCTAGTCGTGGATGCTCCCCAGCAAGGTCAGCAGCAACCTCCTTCACAGGAAGCCTTTCACCTAGTGATGCTGCTCCTCCACTCAAGTAGGTAAGGGCCATGGTGAGCTTGCTTTCTATGACTACTTCCCCTGCCATGATGTCAAGCTGGTTAAATTAGAATTATCCATACCTAAATTCTCCTCATGTAGTGTCAGTATTTGACTAAACAAATACTTGTTTCACTTTTAAAATCACAAGTTCAAAAACAAGGTAAAACCAGCAAAGAAATGGATGGTTGCTACAATAGAAACACCATAAGCGACAAACATAAATTCAAGGTAGATATAAATATTAGACACACATGGCTACTTATAAAACTCCTTGGCAGGCAGAGGTCTGGAGGAAGGTGTTACTTATTGGCAGGCTTAGCACAGACTAAAAAAAAGAGAAAAAAAAACCTACCTCAGCAGCTGCAAGGCCGACACATACTCCTCTGAATCCCATATGTTCTTTTCTAAACATGTGCAGTACAGCTCTCTGATCTGTAAGTGAACAGCACACTTATGAGGAACCAAAAGTGATATACTAAGCTGGCATACTACTAGTTTGACAAAATCCACATAAATGGTCAAGACAAAAAAATAATGTTATTAAAAACAACCATTTTCTTTAGATGACAACAGAGTTGGCATCTATCACATGAATCAGGCTTTATAAGAACACCATTTACATATGAGGAAAATGAAACTACATTGGAATTAGCTGTTATCTCTGGTCACTTTGCAATACAAAAATCATAAAAATGATAATGTGATTAAAAAGAAGGCATAATGGTAGAAATCATCTTATAAACAAGTCGTTTTTACATATTTATTCTCTAAACCTTTGAGTTAAGGATGCAAAGATTTAGGAATACAAAATTGTTCCATTAGCATCCTACAGATGGTTCACAGGTTTATGATACAAAGGCCAGCAGAGTGTAATTTTGCAAGGAGAAGTACTGCTTCCATTTTAATTCTCAGTAGAATGCAAGGTTAACCACTAAACATTCTAAAACAGGAATTTTCCATTTCAGCAAGGTGGAGGGTCAGCTCTGTTTAAGTGATGAACAGTGTTAAAGAGAGAAAGTTGAAATACCTTAGCACAAATACACTGTAGGGGAAGCAAAACCACTGGGATTCCTGTGGTGGTTATTCTAGTTGTGGCCATCAGAACAAAAAACACTGTTTCAATTACCAGTAATGTGCACAGCTGGAATGGCTTTAGATTGTGCACTCACTCCAAATTTGGATCCATTTCAAATTCTGAAGCCCGAATGCTACCGAAATCAAAACAAGAAACTACCAATATTCTGACTTCATAGATTTCAAATGAGGAAATTCTGGTTACCTGTCGACCCAATGGGTACTTGGGAAGAGAAGAAGTGAACTGATGAAGACATTTCAAAACTAGAAAATAATTTGTATGGTACACATGCAAGTTTTCTAGTAATGATTCTGTTTCCTCCTAAAAAAAAAATCACAGAATACATATGTAAGTCAGTAATTTAAAAAATATAATAAATCTACTCTATGGAGATATATAATTTCTGAAAACCTGACAGGAAATGATTCAGAATTAAAATTACCCACCTTACTTCTGAGAATTTATAATGCATACAAAATCCAGGATAAAGATTGGTGTTTCTGATTTAGTATCAAGTCTGCTGATATTTTACACACACCAAAGTTAATGTTGTAATTTAACCTCCTATCTAAAGCACTGCCACAATAACTTGGCCCCTCAAAATACAAGAGTGAAAAAAAGCACCTTGCTGGATGCCTGCCTCTGCCAGTCACCTGGTGTGTGCCACAGCAAAGCAGGGCCATTACCCTCTGCCTCACTGGCACCTAAAGGGTGAGGAGATGACCAGGACCAATGTAATTTACCGCTGCTGAGGTTCCACTTATGATGTATGCTTTTCTTAAAGTACTGCTAGAGTAATGTTTGAAAGGGAAGAAGAAACACCACAGGTGATTCTGCCTTTTGCTGAGAATCTCCAATATGTACAGGCTTTATTCACCTTACCAATTAAGAAAAAAATAGTGAAAAAGAGAAATCTAAAGCCAAGAAGCCTTATAATTTAGAACCCAGCAAATATGATATGAGAGATGTCCATGGCTTAAGAAACTAAAGGATGACTAACCTTACAAGTCAACTTCAAAAGGTTCTTTGGGGGGAGGGGGGGTTGTTGAGGTGAAGGACGATTATGTTTCCTAGAGCCTTCTGAAATAGTTTAGAAACTATTTTAAACCACTGCATCCTAGCAAGCACTTTTCAGGCCTCAAATATTTGTATAACTGCTTACTTCTGTAACACTTTCTTATGATCCGTGGCATGGTCTTCAATTTTTTTTTCTCTTCTGAGAAGTCAAAGAAAGGACTTTAACCACTGGGCTGTCATTTTTCAGTAATATCTTGTAGCTATCCATTAATTTTAGCTGTCAACCATGCAGAAAGTAACACCTCAGGTATCAATAAATTCAAGCAAATCTAATCCTTAAGCAATAAATCTGAGAGATTTTCCTAAACTCTAAATCATTTAGAAATAAATTCCTTGTTCAGCAATCTATGGGTCACTACCTGAAAGCCTAAGGCAAATAAAAATAAAAAAGCTTTTAATATCAAAATGTTCTTTCCTCCCATTATTTTAGTTAGTTGGTAATTTCAAAAATCTAGGTCTCCTATTATCAGTACACCAGTACATCAGTACAGACAGTACTTTAACCACCACTGGGAGAGTGTATTTTAATTCTGTTTGCTATATGCCAGTGATTTTCAATTGGTGTGCTGTAAGAATTTAAAGCTTCCTGGAAACAAATGAAAATGAACACACAACAACCCAGAATCTATTGGACACAGCGAAAGCAGTTCTAAGAGGGAAGTTCATAGCGCTACAGGCCTACCTCAAATAGCAAGAAAAATTTTTAGTAAACTAACCCTACAACTTACAGAATTAGAAAGCTCCCCTGTGAAGCTGTCCTCACCAGGGCTTTTGTTTGCTCGGAGTTTTTTTTATTACTGCTCAATTTCATCAGTTATTATTGGCCTATTCAGGTTTTCTGATTCTTCCTGATTCAGTTTTACATGATCTCACTCATATGTGGAATCTAATAAACCAAATAGGCTGAGGAACAAAATAGATCCAGAGACATAGAAGCATGGAGCAGACTGATGAATCTCAGTGGGAAGGCAGGGGTGAGGGAGTGGGTGGGGAGAGGTTAATCAAAGAACTTATGTGTATATATGTATAACCC